AAATCTAGTAAATTATTGTAAAGTCAAAGTGGTATCCCTACAACCAAGTTATCAGAGGACTTCTTTGTGCCAGCATAACTAAATTCCATTAAACTATCTAAATTTTCCAAAAGGAAAAAGTGTTCTACACATTCAAATATGCTTTCAGGCTGAGCTGTTATGTAGAGATTTTGGCAAGAAAGTGTACAGGGCATTAAAATAAATGTTGTTTTCATGCACAGATTTTTAACAAAAGGTTCATCTTGAAGAACAGTTGCTGGATGGGTAGAAGACTTTACACCATCACCTTAACTACCTTAGTAAGACACATCTGCTTTTTCTCTGAACTCATATATCTCTAAACCAAATTCATTCTCTGATTCATCAAGAAAGCTGAATTTCCACCAGAGTTGTCGGAAATACTCTTCTCTGACCAGGCATTGATACTGAAACCACAAGTCTCATCCAAAATTAATTGACATGTCTGTAACAGGACCTGGACAGAATTTGAGCAAAAACTGGAAGAAAAGGATCCCCTTCCTTAACTGTGCTAATCAGCACCTGAAGAGATTTGTTCTCTATGCTTTGCATGTGTCTATATTCGCATCTGTTGTCTGTCTTCTTTCCCCAGTATATATCTGAAATTATTTTCTGAATAAAGGACTACAGCATCAGCAGCAACCTAGACTAAAAGGCATGTCAGGGAATAAGGATGAAGAAAATATCCTTCTGATAATAGAATTTACTAGGAATCACATAGTTTCTATCACTTGATGTTCTGTACAGTAGAATAGATGAAACATACAGTCAGAAAAAAGGAAGGAAGGTTGTTTACAAGATCTTTATCTTCAATTTCTGTGATTCAATAAGATTCAATCAAATTCATATATTATGTTGTATTAATAACTTTGTGTTAATATAACAATCTAAGGCTGATTGTTCCTCATTCATATATTCTCACAGATGTAAAGTCAAGATCATATTTCTTATGCTAAATTCCCCTCTAACAATACAATCCTGTTCAAGGCAATTTAGTTCAATACAGTCAGATCATAAAATCAATATTTCTTTTTTCATAAGCATACAAGTACATGATTAAAGGCATTTCAGTTATTTGAATTGGCTTTGCTATCACAGAAGATAGAGTAAGGGTTTTAAGTGTGCAAAGTGTTGTTAAGTCTTTACTAAATAAACCTGGAAGACATTCACTTGTTGTAGGACTCTCCAGTTTTTCAGACTGCAAGTTATCCAAAGGAAAAAAATTCTGAATCTAAAACTTAGCTAGGATACTCAACTTATGACAACTTTGTGGTAAAAAAATAATTTATCATGGCATTATTTCTCTCATTGCAAATTCTTTTCTGTCCAACAGCCCTTTTAGCTACCTTCACTTAGACTATAAACAAAATACACAAACTCAGCAATACATCAAAATAATTTCGTTGAAATTCACTGTCAAAATCACCTGTAAATCATTCTTCCCTTGGGAAGATTCTCTCCACTCTGTAGAATCCTGCACCTGGAGAACTGTTCTACCATTATCAGGAAGATTCCTGTATAGAGTTGTGCAAGCAATATATATGATTTGATAAAGCACAGCTGTAGTTTATGGAAAAATGTCATGGGGATCTAGATGAAAACGAGCATCCAAAAACACACTGATGTTCATATCTGTAGAGTTTTCCAGTCAGAACAGAAGAAACTTTTATACAGCATGATAAAGCACAGTACATCACTGAATTTTACTGAATATAATTTCATTAAAAATTTATTTTCTATTGGTACTTCCCCCAATTTTTCAATAATATGTAGCTCTTTCCATATGTCAAATGCATTCTTTTCATATACTTCCTTTTCTTATAGTGTTCTGTGCACACAAAAATGATACCACAGAAACCCATTCTGAAGGATTTACCAAATCTAAATATCTGGTATTTTGCAGGTTTGAAGTGCTGTTTTGCATTCAGCTTTAGTTTAGACATTGATCATAATGATAATCCTAGAAACATTGATCATAATGACATTGCTAGAAACCTTATGCTAGAAAAAGTATAATCTGATCCGTCTTTCAATACCAAATGTTGCCTGCAAACTGGAATCTACATAGATGATATTTGAAACATCCTTTATGAATCCAGATTGAAAATTTAATACATATACAGCATTTCAAGTTGCAAAAATGTATGTTAAGAACAGCTGAATACAAAAGAGTAGCAGGGAGAGAAGACTTCACATACTAAGAGCTACACAGTAGGTGAATGATGGCATTTCTGAGCAAGCATAAGAACAGAAAAAATCCACTGGCTTTCCACTACAGTACATTAACAGATGATACACCCAGAGCACGTCCTTTGCTATGCTTCACATCTTTGCTGTAAGGACTTGCTCCTCTAAAGGCAAAGTTTATTATTTATTTAGGATAGTTTGGTTTCTTTCAAATACTGTTCAAACTGTGGGTCTATACTGATACTAGTCAGTCAACTAAACCAGGACAGCTCTTGGAGAATTAGGCATTCAGAGAGCCACATTGGGAACTTTGATTCTGCCAAGTACTTCAGTGAACTCATTACAGCAGACTGACATGAATCAATAATGAAATAAACTGGAAAGACCCTGATGCACAATACATTCCAGATGGTGCATTTTATTTCAGCTCCTAAATGATATTGAAATCGAAAGTGTGCAAAGGAAACCTGCTAAATCATTAAGAAATTCTTAAAACGTGCCAATGTTGAATGATTTTCACATTGCCTAACCTTAAGCCCTCTCTATTTACTTGCCTCACTAAAAGGCAAACCTCATTGCTAATCCTACATACACATGGGGACAACTTGTGCAAAACCCACAACTTAAATATTCTGAATTCCCCCCAGCAGAAGAATATCTCTCTCAATTACAATATTTATATAAAATAAAAAGGCAAAGTAGGCATCTAACCTGAAACTAAATAATATGGTCTAAACACGCTCCTTTCCTCCCTACTCATACACTCAGTTCTACCACTGTATTACCTACACGTATGACCAAAGCATTTGAGCTCTACAGGCAGTAAAACTGGCCATCCCTTTTAAAGGTAATGCACCAGCTTCATTAATATGTTTCTATATATTTACTTAAAAATTCTTTCATCACAGCTGCTCAAAATACCTTGCTGGTCTAAACTGAAGATAGGTTAGGAATCCAAACAATTCACATTTTTGAATTAGTGAATGATTTCACTAAGGATGATTTATCTAAAATTAAAACCCCTCTGGAAGCAGGTGCAAAGCTAAAACATTGTAAATATCTTACTCCTAAGATGACTACATTAAAAAACACATCATTTTTTTTCCTCAGCAGGTGATAAATGTCTCAGGGGGATTCCATGAGGAAACAGGCAAAGTGGGGCTATAAACAAGAAATCAAGATAATGTGATGTTGGTGCAATTAAGAGATACAAAAATCCTTTCAACCCTATGAGTGCTTAACTCTTCCTGAAAACTGACATAAAAGTTATAAAATCTATACAGCAGAAACTGCTAAATGTGCAAACGCTCTCATTATCCCTGTCAGTAGTGTTAGCTGGATTGCTGTGTCACCATGAGTCAGTCACTTACGCAGTCACTTTCATGAAGGGTATTCATTCCAAATAATTATCTCTGCCTCATTTCCCAGAGTTTGTGGTCTTGCTACTTTCTCATTTAATATTCCTTTTCAATGGCTTCTGTGATTCTATTTATTCTCTCAGATAGCCTCCAAGGATTTCAATCTCAAAGTTTCTGAGAAACTCTGATACATCACATACAGGAGTGAAAATTCATCCTTTAATTCACATAATGCAAGGAATCTGAGATTAAGTTATAGCTACTGAAATCAGCAATTTTCTTTCAAGGATAAGCACATTTTTTACTTACATACCTTCTTTTTAAATTTTATTTCCCGTCATAATGTGGAACTGTATGACATTTTCTCTTTCAAAAAGCCTTAGTTTTCCATATATGACAGAAGTGATATGTGGTAAAGAGAGTAATCATAGGAGGATATGTTGTGATTTTTCTGGCTGTTTTACTGCTTTATTCCCTGGCATACTAATATCCACTGTTAATATGGTTATGTGACCTTTACTGTGGTTATAAATTTACTGATCTCTTTCCATAAAAAAAATCATCAATTTGTGTATCTTTGCCCTTCTATTTTAAGATGAAAATATTAAAAGACTATTAAAGAGCCTCTGGTTTATTTTATTTTCTATATGAAACATTTAAGATAATTATTCTCTTCAGTTTTCAGGGAAAATGAGTGCCTGTATATCCGGAGGGATGAATTACCAAACTGTGAGGTTTCATATACTGGCTAAAGACATGTCATTCAAAAACTATGCCATTTTTAGGATGTTTTCTCTGAAAAAAAATTCACAGTATTTGATCTTTATTTTTTCCTTATGAAAGAGCATATAAACACTTGTACAAGAAATTCCATTTGGCACATTATGGACGTTTTTGAATTGAGTGTACTCCATTTTGCATTTCCTTTTACATGTGGCATATCTTTTCCAATGCATTCCTAGCAGTCCAACAAAAATAATAAGTGTCTAAATGTCTCTTCCAACTAAGTCACTTCAGTGGATTCAAAATTTAGCCACACCAGCTCAAAGAATGCAATGAGAATATATTGATTTCATTGTTGACAATGATCCATGGTAATCCAGTTCAGTGAGTGAATGACCTAAATCACCTTTTCAGGTTACAAGCTGAGGCAAATCAAATTCATGGCTTGATAAAGGCAGCTTGTTACACAGTACTTCCAAAATGGAGTACTCCAACACTTAGAGCAGGAGATTATATAAATGAGTTGAAAACAAAACAGATATAGTAAGTTTATGTGACAAAGTCCACCTTTCTGCTTAAAATTCATTTAGAAAACAACTTTGGTAACAACTTCTATTTACACAATGACATAAGATGAAGAAATTCTCCACCCAAACGTGCAAAGTTTAAATAATTTTATAACAAGCATTTTAAAGGTAAAACTATTGTACTTACCAAGCCAACTTCTGTTTAAATATACTGACACAAACACTGGAGGGACCGTAAAGAAATCTACCACTGAGTTAACTTCGAGCCAAAACCATAGCTTGTCATTGGCTGCTATAAACTGGAAAGAAAAAAAAAGAGGGGAAGAGATAAAAGAAGCAGATTATTCTTATGCTGATTGCAGATATCTGTTATAAAATATTCAATCAAAATTAGTGTAGTAACTGATATTTTAGGTCAATCCAGACAAAACATGTCTCACTGGAAAGAAATCTGTATTGTGAATTTCTTGATCATAATACCGAGATTAAAACGAAAGGTCTAATTAAAGAGATAGATCATCTATGTCATCAGATGCAATATCTGTGCTAAAAATACTTTTTCCACGTTTATTGACAATGTATCAGTAATACTAGAAAAGTGTAGGCAATTATAAAGTATTTTGAAGTACATCACCTTTGTTCCAGCACACCAAATATGGTGGTAGTAGTCTTATCATGTATCTGTTGCTCACAAATTTCTCACTACAGAACAGTTTATACAGAGTCCCATTGCTACATGTCCAGAAGAGATCAGCAGGGTGACTCCTACAAAGCATAGTTCAGGACTGCAGCAGCACCTCAGGCTTTTGAATGGAACCACAGATGTCATCATTTCTCTATTCTGAATACAAAATCAGCCCAGGGAAACTGGCAAGCTTAGATGCCAAGGGCATCATCATTAGAACTTGCCTATGTGCTTAAATAAGGTGAAACTACCTTTTGTATTTGATTAATAATTAAAAAATAATGAAAACACTTGCTTTATATAAATATTAAATGTAAATATACAAATAAAGGGAAAAAAACAAGTGTTTCATGAAGATATTTAATGGAGCAGTTCTAAGTCTTAAAACTTTGACTTACGCATTTCAAAACAATTTTTTTTTGAGTTAAAGATGATATTGTCTTTCTTTCAAAGAAAATACAATCTCTATTTCCATCACCATGTACAGCAGCTGCCTTCCCTCCTGACTCTTGCTACCAAAGACACACTACTTACACGCAAGCCGAAGTAGAGTAGGAAGAACACATTGAAAGCCATGTCGATCTGTAATGTGAAATCTTTGTAGAAATTCTGGCAGGATTCTATTGGGCTATTTGAAAGACAAAGAAATCAGAATAAATTGTCAGTATATGAGTTTCTACTCTGCTGAGAATTGTATGCATGTTGTTAAAGACCTTGATCCAGAAATCACATTTCTGTTTTCCAGTTGTTTGTAAGATACAAGCAAGCATTTCAAAGGAATTATTTCATTCATTCAGTTAGTCATTCATACAGTGTTTATATTGACCTGTTCAGGTAATATTTGAAAATTAACATGCAGATACCTTTAGGAGAGGACAAGCAGGAGAATACCTCAGGATTGCTTAACCCCACATTAACCCTTAAAGAACTGACTTCTTTCTAAAGACACACCTATGATACTTTAGGAAGAAACCTAACGAGTACACAGGTACAGTGAAACATTACATGCTTTTAAGTCATAAAACCTTTAACAAAAAATAGTTGCTTAGGAATACATTACCCATTAGCAACCTGGAGTACTTAGTCTTGTAGAATCCCTTGTTTATAAAAAGTTGATTGGAATTTTTTTTCTTTTTCTCACTTTTTTTTTTTTTTTTTTTTTTTTTTTTTTTTTTCTTTTTTTTTTTTTTTTTTATTTTTTTTTTTTTTTTTTTTTTTTTTTTTTTTTTTGTATGGCAATTTAATGCACTTTATGTACAGTACTATGAACTGAGTAGAAAAGCAGCATAGCCCACTGGTAAAATTAAATAACAAAATAAATTGAAGAATTTGAAGCAGTACTCTAAGGGTTAATTTCTGCATGCAGGTTAATTAAAATACCCTTGTGTGTATCAGGCAGCCATTGCAAATTTTAGCTTATTATTTTATGCTCTACTTGACAGTGGGACAAATCCAAAGCTTACTCTATACAAACTGGTACTTTATAAATATCCTTTTTTTTATCTAAGGAAGGTGGTAACTTCCATAAGTATCATCAGTGATTTATTTGTGAGGTTTCTAAAACAGGTTGTTGAAGCCACAGTCCAATGTAGTCATAGTCCAAAGTGAAAATCATGTCCCAATATATGTCAATGTATATACTACATATACATAATGTCCCACCATATATACATATATATACACACATATATTGCAAATGATCATGTGTTCATCACAACTGTAACAGAGGGAAACTAGAACGTAGATCATTTGAACATTTAGAGCCCTAGAAAAAATCCTTTTAGAAAAGCAGAAATTTGTTGGCTTTCTAGATCAAATAAATCACTGAGCATGAATACAATACCAGTTAGTATAGCAGTAGTTCTGCAAATATAATGCTAGACTGCTCAACAAGCAAGATTCTATGCATTATGAATGTTAGGTACCTAACTTAAGGCATAAAGGAAATTACCTGGACTACCAGGTCATTACACATGCAGCCAAATTTTCCATTCCTTGTATACATTTCAGGTCAAACAAGTTAATTACAGCATGCTCTCTCCTGTCTCTAGATGCATGAATGTATACAGCAAAATTCTCCTTGATGTACAATCGGTTCATATTTTAAGAAGCTTCAGTGCTACAGGAAATTTTATTAGAATTGTTTTTCAAAGGCTATTTGAAAAGGCATTGAAGTTATGAGACACTTCTGTTATAGTTCAAATAAAATTGATTTACAAGAGCAGGTAGAAGGGAAGAGAAGCCAAATGTTAACATACAGGAGAGCAGACAATATCTCACATTTAAAACCACAGTTTTAGCTACAAAAACAGTGGATGTAATTTGAGAACCCAAATGGATAATTTTCTGTACAGCACTAATGAGAACAAGGGATTTTGTCAAAATACGGTAGTCCACACTGAGTCACAGTGCACCCTACCAACAGGAGTACAGAGGAATGGAATCAACAGCCCTGCACCAACCCTTAACTCCAGCTTAGGTACCTGCAAAGCTAGAGAAATTCACTGAAGCTAATGGAATTGCAGAGGCTTATAACCAGGATAGAGAGCAATTTTTAGTTAAGGTCAGCTAAGGTTGCAGCTAACAGCTGTACTTTTGTGTCACTGTCTGTTACAAAAACCTACAAGATCTGACAAATTACCTAATGCATAACACATCTTCATTTTTATTTTTTTTTGCAAAAAACTTAGCAGAATGGATGACAATTCTGATTTGTGACTTTTGTTCACCTAATACCAAAATTGCAGTTTCTGATAGTGATATCCTTTAAGCTTCCTTCATTTCAGAGAGCATCCCTCTCTTTCAATGTTTAAGTTGTCCATTTCAAAGACAAACACAGCATCCTTTGTTTTTAATATTTCAAATGATGATTTTGTCAGAAGGGCATGATACTGAAGAAACTATTAATTTTTTCACAGATGGATTATAAAAGATTTTAAATATTCTAAATCAAACTTTCTGTTTGGATTTTTTATTTTTCTTTTCACCAGTAGCTGACATGTGAGCTGGCAGAAAAACATGGCCACTAATGTTTATCATTGCTCAATTCAGCCTGCTGCATAAAGGAAGCCAATTTGAAACTCGTCTTTACACTGAGTTTCCCAAAACCAGAAGTGCTCTAAGTAATTCTTAGTAGTGCACTAGGGTCTACAGGACCAGTAATAATACTAATAAAACTCCCTGGTTTATAATAAAACCACATGGCATATCCTATGGGATTTCACCCAATTCGGGCAGCAAAGGTTTCACTTCTGAAAAAGACAACAGACTATTAGAAACATTTTTATTCCCCTTCCATGTAAGCATGGTTTCATACATTTCTACCACAAAAAGACAGGAGAAACAATGATAAAATCAATGAAACAGCATTCTAGCAATGCGAAGAAAGATTTCATATAACTAGATAAAAATTACAGTAATGATGGAACTCTAAATGGAATGGGTGCCTCCCCCTAAAAATAGTGGCAGGATCAATACTCCAACAACTGATGTGCACATCTGGTAAATAAGCCAGCTAGGGAAGGCACCCCACCAGAAATGTTTTTCTGAACAGAGAAGGACTGGTGGCTGACGGGACAATAGGAGGTTGTCTTGGGTACAGCAATCACAAAATGATAAATTTTGATTTCTGAAGAAATAATGTGGGGGGTAGCAGGACCCCCAGAGGGCAGGTTTTGGCCTGTTGATGATGCTGGTAGAGAAAGACCCTTGGGATGCAGTCCTGAAGGGCAAAGGAGCCCAGGAAGGCTGGACATTATTAAAGATGGAAATCTCAAATGCACTGAAGCAGGCCATCTCTATGTGTCAAAAGATGAGCTGGCAGGGAAGACCATCAGCCTGGCTGAACAGAGAACTTTGGCTGGAATTCAAGAATAAAAGTGCATCATCTTTGGAAGAAGGGCCAGGCAACTCCGGAAGGCTTCAAGGATGTTGTGAGGTCATGAAGGAAGAAAATTAGAAGGGCCAAAGCCCAGCTAGAACTAAATCTAGTTACTGGCATAAAAGACAAAAAAAAAAACATTTCTAGAAATAAATCAGCAACAGGAGAGCTAAGTGGAATCTCCATCTTTTATTGGATGGAGGGAAACATAATGAAAAAGAATGAGGAGAAGTTTGAGGTACTTAATACCTGCATTGCCTTGCAGTCTTTAACAGCAAGAGCAGTTGTTTTCTGTGAACCCAGCACCCTGAGCTGGAAGACAGATGGGGAGCAGGATGAAGCCCCCACAATCCAAGGGGAAATGGCCAGTAAAATACTACACTATTTAGACAGAAATCAAGGGGGCTGCATGGAATCCATCCAAAGATACTGAGGGAGCTGGCAGAAGTGCTCTCCAAGCTACTTTCCATCATTTATCAGCAGACCTGGTTAACTGGAGAGGTCTCATCTCACTGGAAATTAGGAAATATGACACCCATCTACAAGAATGATCAGAAAGAGGATTCATGCAACTACAAGCCTGTCAGCCTGACCTTGGTGCTGGGGAAGGTCATGGAGCAGAACATCTTGAGTGCCAGCACAGAGCACATGTAGGACACCACGGCATCAGGTCCAGCCTATTTGGGGTATGAAAGGCAGTGCTGCTTGACCAATCTGATCTCCTTCTATGACAAGGTGACTTGCTTGGTGGATGAGGGAAAGGCTGTGAAGGCTATCCAGACTTTAGTCAAGCTTTTTACACCATTTCTCACAGCTGAAGAAACTGGCTGCTCATAGATTGGACTAGCTGGGTAAAAGACAGGCTGGATGGTGGAGCCCAAGGAGTGGAGCAAAAGGAGTCAAATCTACCCGGTGTCTGATCACTAATGGTGCTCCCCAGGTCCCAGCTTTGGACCCAGTGCTGTTTAATATCTTGATCTATGATCTGGTCAAGGGAATTGAGTGAGTTTTCAGTAAGCTCCCAGATGACACCAGGTTGAGCAGGAGTGCTGATCTGCTAGAAGGTAGGAAGGCTCTGCAGAGGGATCTGAAGAGGCTGGATCCATGGGCTGTGGCCAATTGTGTGAGGTTCCTGCACTTGGGTCACAACAATCCCATGCAGTGCTACAGGCTTGGAGAAGAGCAGCTGTAAAGTTGTTCACTGGAAAAAGACCTGAAGTTGCTGATCAGCAGCCAGCACACCATGAGCTAGCACATGCCAAAGTAGCCAAAGACAATAAGGTCCAGGCTTATAACAGGAATGGTGTGGCCAGCATGACCAGGGAAGGGACTATCCCTGTGTACTCAGCCCTGGTGAGGCCACCCCTCGAGTGCTGTGTCCAGCTCTGAGCCTCACACTGCAAGACAGCGAGGGGCTGAGGCAAGTCCAGAGATGGGCAACAGCTGGAGAAGGGTCTGGAGCACAAGGGGCTGGGGTTGTTCAGCCTGGAGAAAAGCAGGGTCAGGAAGGACCTTATCACTCTCTATCACTCCCTAGGGCCAGGCTGTAGCAAGGTGGGGGTCAACCTCTTCTCCCAAATATAAGTGACAGAATAAGAGGAAATGGCCTCATGTTGTGCCGGGGAAGATTAGATTGGATATTAGGGAACAATTTTTCACTGAAAACACATTGAAAGAGGCTGCCCAGGGAAGTAGTTGAGTCACCATTCCTGGAGGTATTTAAAAGATGTATAGTTGTGGCACTTGGA